AAATAAGGAAAGGATATGATAAAGATGGTATAGATAGTTCAGAGGTACACTGAAAGTATGGAAGATGGAGAAGACTGAAAAGTCTTGGGAAAATGAGGGTTGATAAGTTTGTAATTAGGCCCTATTTTACAGCCCATATATTTATATTTGACCTTTATTTTATTTAGATTTTACACAAATTTATATATTAATTGTGCAGTTTGGTATAAAGAGACCGCAATTGGATGTTAGGTGCATTTTGGGCCCAAATTGATGGAAGATTAGAGTTTTGCAGCAGTCAGCACACCCAAACCCTTTCAACAAACACGGGAGTGCTTCGAGCTTATGCACGACCGTGCTTATCTGCGAGAAGCCCAATTATCAAGAGTCTGTAGGATTTTCAAACCCTATTAAAAGGAGATCTTAGGCATCGTAAAAGGGATGTTTTTACATCTAGTCTTTGGCTTTTGAATACACCTCTCATCTCGTCTCTCTTGCACGGGATTCTTGGCACATGCTTGGTGAGACTTGAAGCTTCAAGCAATCGTATTTGAAGACCAGGAACACATCTCATACTCTAGTTTGCTATTTCTTTTGATTATGGCTTTGTTTATGATTGTTTTAATTCTTTTCTTTAGCATGAGTAAATAAGTCCATAGCTAAGGCTATGGGAACTATTGTTCATGAATTTATGAAATTTTGATATTTGAATCTAAATTTGATTTCTGTTTTGTAATTAGATTTTATTCTATTGCGCTTCTTTCTTAATCCTAATTAATTATATCGTCAGAAGACCGTACCTCGGTTAATTAATAGATCTATAGGGTAAAACGAGACAAAAGATTAGGTAGATCAAACCAATCTTTCTCTTCTAATCGTTATTAAATTAACAAGTTCATAGGTTCATTAAGCTTTCTTAAATTAATGTCTTGCATGATCATTGGGGATGTTAATTTAGAGAAAAGAATATTAATATTGCATAACCATTGAGTATTAGTAGTATTCATATGAATGATTGGTAATCACAAGGAAATCAGATTTAGAGTTAAACAGAAAAATAACATAAAAGATTGAATGAGAAAACTCATATGCCCTAGGTTCCTCTCTGATAAGTTTAACCAAGACGTGCATTGTATTCCTTGCTCTTAGTTTATCTTGTTTTAATTAATCTCATATCTTTGAAACTTAAACAATTGAATTAGAAAATTCTTAATAATTGGAAAACAATCCTTGTGGGACGATATTTCAGGAACTTAATTTAAGAACCCTTTATTACTTCTCGATGGGTACACTTGCCCTCCGAACAAGGGTGGTGGATGCTCCTCTTGAATTGCACAAGACAAATGAGAGTAGAAGCATCACAGGTTTCACACTCGTTTCCTGATTAAACTCTTGACCATGCTTTTGCTAAAGGGGTCGGGTCAGCACACGTATCAGTGTAGCTGTGGTTATCCAACGACTATCTATGCTAATGAAGACCTCGAGGGATCCTAGGGGCAGTGAAATGAGAAAAAGTAAAGTGTCAGTAGTAATGGACTTAAGTTGAATAAATTAGAATATTAATGATTTTGTATATGATGCTTGTATGATTGTTTTATCTGTATCATTGAATTATTTGTGATTGTATGCTTAGTAATGAAAATAGAGACTCATCCTTACATAACTATTTCAGGAAATTAGGATGACAACACCCATCGAAAGCATTAGACTTGTAAATAGTGTTGTAAGTCATGAGCTAAATTATGTATTTAATGAGTACCAGCGCATTTGTTTCTTTAGAATTATTGTATATGAAGTGATGTACCTAGTGACCTTATTATGATGTAAATGGAATTAACTTTTAGTATTCCTTTCGATTTCCTTGTAAATAGAATCCATCATACTCTATGCGTATATATCTTTCCTAGCACTATAAGGACCCCAACAGCTATGAAATACTTGTTCACGTACCATGACCACAATTATCTTGAAAGACCATCTCATTGGACATTTGAGAGAATTATTAGTACCCAGGTTATTGTAGACCCTGGTGACGTATATCTCGAATCAGATGACGACCTTGACTCTGACGATATAGCGATGATAGAGGGACGACATGGGGATGAGTAGTGTCTCTTTGGTCACGTGATGGATAGGCTGCTCATTAGGACTTATTATATTTTGTAAATGTTGGAAATGATGTCATAATGTATTTTATTGTATTTTAATGAATACTTTGTAAATGTTAACATTATGTATATTATGAAAACAATGTATGTTCATGTATTTTAATGCTTCTTCTTCATACTTTGCTTAACCATTATTGACTCGTTATTCAAAGTTTTGTACAATTGATCAAAACAAACGAAATATATGAAATTTTACTATTATATTTGACTGGTAACTAAAAATTTATTTTATTTTCCATTTAATTTTGAAATTTTACTATTATTGTTTAAAATAAAAATTAAGGATGTTACAGCCTCAAGTGCTCTTTCTTCGCGGGTGACTGGTGTTAGACGAAGTGTCACTTTCTTCATAATCATTTTCTAAATTGGAGCTCCTTTGACGATTGAATAGAACTTGTTGTTCCTCTACAATTTCTTGTAGTTCTTGAATTTTTTGGCGTAACTCCTCCATCTCGATCTCTTGAGTATTCCTTCAGTTTTGGCGTCTTGGTGACATTTTGTTGTATAGGTGAGAATAAAATTATGAAAAGGTTTGGGATAATACATGGCGTAACAATGTTGGATGCGTGGTGCTCACATGACTGATGATGTCATTGTCTTCAACCTCTCCCGAGCACGTCTACGGTGTTGGCTTGTTAAGAAATGACTCGAAATGCTTCTTAAGAGTGACTGAAACTAACTTCGGCAAGGAAAGAAGCGAAGAGAATTTAGGCCAATTCTAAACGACCAAGAGCGTAGGAAGCTGGAAACCTGGCTCTTGATACCAAATGGCTCAAAAACCAGAAAGGGAAAGTGACCAAATAGTACTTAGAACTCTCAAATAAGACAAGAGAGAACTAGAGCTTAAAACTCTTAAGAGAGTATGAGAATTTGCTTATTCAACTTGATGTCAAAATGAGGAGTACAATGGGGTATTTATAGTATTATAAGGATAGTTCTAAAACATAGATTATTCTATAGTAGATATTAAATAAGATAATTTTAGACTAGAGATGTTTCTAGAGAAAAGATAAATCTACAATAAGAATATTTCTATATTAGAGATATTTCTAGATAGTGCAATTATAGATTATCCTAAATATAAGTTGAGTCAGTCATACTCTTTACATACAACTTACTAATATTTAAAAATAATAATAAAATTATATATGTCATATAAGTCTTACATATTTTTAAAATTATAAATTATAAGTCAAGTATGATGCATAAAAAAAATCATAAATAAAATATACGACTTATATATTTTGTTTAAAATAAATATATTTATATTAAACTTAATAAAAAAACTGTGTTGTACACTTTATTTATATTTTCAACTTTTGTTTCTCTTGTTTTAATTATTTCTATGTTCGCACATGCTCTTCCTTTTTATTGAAATAACTAATAATATCTCTAATATATAACATTAATATCTACAACTGTATTTAAAAAGTTTTACGATACTATTCGTATACAATTGTATTCATTAGTATTATTAACTACAAATTAATTACATCTACAATAAAAAATAATAACTATAAATAATAATAAAAATATTAACCTCAAATTTTTTTAGTACTAAAAATAAAAAGTGATAATTATTTATTATTATCATCTTTACTGTATATAAAATTAATTTATAGTTAATAATACTAATAAATACATTATTAATTATTAACTTTACTTCTGGTATTTAATATATTGCTAGTTATTTCAGTTTTTTCTTTAGAAAAAGCATATGCCAATATAGATAAAATTGAAAGAAAGAAAATATAAGTAGAGTTTACATTGCATTATTTTTTACTAACTTTAATATATAAATATAATTTTTAAATAAAATTTATTAGTCGCATATGTCATTTATGATTTACATTTGTAAAAAAAGACATTAGTAAGTCGTACATAAAAAATACAATTTATATGAATTAAGTAAAAAAAAAAAAAACTGAAAAAAATATGTTAGAGAGAATATTATTTATATTTCTCTTTTACAATTTAGTTTCTCATCGAGATTATGTTTTACACAGTTTGTTCAAAATTCCTTTAGGTTTAAAAACTTATTTTTTATTTAAAAATTGTTAAGCAATTGATAGGAATTTGTACATAGCAGGTGCATGAAAGAGAAATACCAACAACACTCCATGCATGTTTTAACATACTGTATATTATTAATTAAAATTTATGAAATTTAAAATTATGTAATTTTTATATAAAGAATCGTATAATTTTATAATTTCAATAGACATGAGTAAATAATAAAATAATTTATTTAATATATCTACAATGATACACAATAATAATCTATTTGTAATTATTTTGTTAAAATATATGAGATATTATAAAATATAAATTAAAAGAAACCATACTAAAAAAAATATGTGTTACTACCATTTTTATTTATAAATTACCAATAATGATATAAATAGTAGGTTAAAATCATATATTGACAAATTGTTTGAATAAGAAAGATTCACGAATAAAACATAGAGGTTTTCTTAATTTGTAACAAAAATCACAATTTTGTAGTATATAATTTAGGATTCATCATTTTAAAACAATGCAAGGAACATGAAAATGAAAAATGATTCAAAATTACATGTGAAGGTAAAAATAAAGTTTAAATTTTTAAATTAATTTTGTAAAAAATTGATGAATAATATAGTGTCTTTAATATACATAAAATGAGAAAAATTATAAAAAATAAACTAACTGAACAATAATATAGTGTTTTCAGTATATATTTAAATTTAATAAATTTTACCTAATTTATTAAAGAAGTTAAAAAAAATCGATATTGAGGAATAAACACGTAAGAGCAATTATCATAACTGACATCATATACTACTTATCCGTCCACCTCACCTTGTTGTCTTTGTAGCCGCACGTTTCAAGCACACAAACTGAAAACGCGAAAGCAATTATCATCATCTGGAGAAAACAGAACATAGTAACGTTCTTCTTTGTTCATGAATTCCTACCAACTTTACATGTTCTACTCTCCATTCCGCGTTCTGACATCTCCATGCACAAAGCCACCAAACACGCCTCTCTTTCTTTTGTTTCATGCCAACACAAACTCTATCTTCTTCCCCTCACCAACCCTCCTTTGTTCGTCCCTCAGCGATGACTCCTTTTCCACCCCTAAACCAAACCAGGCACTCTCTCTCTCTCTCTTTTTATTCTCTTACATTGTTTTTTACTTTTTTTATTGTTATTGTCTACGTTTAAACCTTAAAGCAAACAAAACCGCGACATTATTTATTTATTTATGTTTGGATGATACAATGATGTTTCTGTGATAGTTGGGTTACAATCCTTCCGAGGAACTGTACGGGCTGGAGGTCGAACTCAAGCCAAGGTCTCCACTTTTTATTCTTGTTTAAGATTTAAGTGTCTTTGTCTTTATATTTTCGCAAATTTTTGTTTTAATCCTTGTAGTTATTTTTTTTATTTTAATCTTTACGTTTTTAATAATTTTCATTTTTACTCTCTCTGATATCGTCTAATAGAAAATTGATATATGGTAGCCTTTTAATAAATCACGTCAACAATAAAAGCTGAACATAACAATGTGCAAAAATATAAAAATATAAGAACTGAAACTAGAAAATTCATTAATAAGGACATACGAGGATTAAAAATACGTTTTCGTTCTTATTTAATTTCCCATTGTCGTAAAAATAAATTAATTGTTTGAAAAATGCTGTGTTATATTACACACTTTCTACGACATTGCATTGTATTCTATATTATCTAGTACTCGCTGTTTCAATTACACAAAATACATATTAAGATTTGAATGCTGGTAAAGTTACTCCATAAGTCCACACTAATGCAGAGTGACTTGAACAATTTTTTTCCCATTTCAGCAAGGCTAACTCTCATACACCAGAACCAAAGTCTTGGTTTGGTCCACATGGACAGTATATCAAAGAGCTACCTTGTCCAAGTTGCCGGGGAAGAGGTTATACTCCCTGTTCAGAGTGTGGAATAGAAAGATCAAGGCCAGACTGTCCAAAATGTCATGGAAAGGTACTTTACTTTGGGAATTATAGTTGCTTATTGGATAAATCAGAGTTTCTACTTTGTTAGAGGAGGCTTTAATTACTTGTATTATTTGTTCCATGAATACTCAAATTGCCTCCGACAAGCCTGGATCATCAAACTTCTATAAATGTACTAGTCTTAGATATTGAACTTCCACCTAAGACAGCTTGAAATTAAGTCATTTCTGATTTGAACAAAAAATTCTCAACTTGAGGATGGGGCACATGAACTTTTTCTTCTCTTCTCTGTGCACTCACATGGTAAACATTTAGTGTTCATGGACATGATATTTGATATTTGGCAGTAGCTCCTTTGGAAAAGAAAGTTGCATATAGATCCATAAAAACTGAGAATGCTTGTGTAAAATTCAACTGATCACCATTGGGTCATGAAAGACTGGTATTGCAGATTTGATCACATGGTAAAACGATCCATATGCTTAAATAAATACCCTCATAATTCAACATAGCTTGATGCCATAATGACAAGAGACATATTCACTTATTAGACACATAATAGCAGTTAATAATTTTTTTAAAAATTTGTATTTTTCGGTGTTTTTGGCTTTATCAAGTTTTTATAGTGTTATTTATAGTTTCTTTATTGTTATTTTCTTAATATCCATAGCAACTGTGAAACACTAAGAGAACATCATACAGTGCACAATAGTTACTTTGTTTTACCATTTGTTTCGCTTCGGTCTTTATGTAAACAGGGTATACTGACTTGCAACCAGTGCTATGGAGATTGTGTTATATGGGAAGAATCAATTGACGAACAACCATGGGAGAGAGCCCGTTCTATGTAACTTTTTAGAAATAATTTTCCGGCTTTCTTTATTGATCTTCTGTTAACTCCTTTGCAATATTGACATGACTAATTTGCTAACACTTAGTTATAAGTTATCTCAAGCATAGACAATTCTAAAAAGGAGCATCTATGTGTTGGACAAATTGAATATTTGCGTGAAACACTTACCAGGAACTTGTTTGACTTGACATGAATCTTCACTTTCTAACATGACACCTTGAATTTTGTAGTCACAATGTCCTCTTCCATGTCATATTCCATGGATCTCAGGCTATTTTCTCCACTTTCAATCCTTTGTTTAAAATATTGCTGCAAAAATGGTTCATAAATATACCAACTTGCAATGTAATATTCCTTTTCAATCTACCAGAAGAGTACAATCAATCAGATTGTAATGTAATATTCCTTTTCAATCTATCAGAAGAGATCAATTCTTACTCATAATATCTTGAATATGAACAGAATCTGTTCAACTGGGTATTTCTAAATTATAATATTTTATTTTGTTTTTCTTTGTTTTCCCCTAATGTAATGTGCCGTTTTTTCTCATCTTTTCATTTTCTACTGGATTGGAGATTATATCAAAATATATTGTTCTGCGTTACTATTCTGCATCCTTCCACTAGTTATATTGAACTCTGAAATTATTTTCAGCAATATCCACTAGTTATATTACATCATTTTTTTGTTAATGGACGACCATGATCCATCAATATAAAATGTTTCATTCTGCAATCAATATTGTATTTGTTCTTTCAGAAGGAAAATAGCTCAGCTTTTTGGTTTAGGTCATAATATATTGTTTTTAGTTATGATATTCAGACCAATAGTTGTGGTATCTACTTATTTATATATTTTTGTACAACGGAGGTGCAAACACCAGGGTAGGGAGCTTGTAGTATATTTTTGTTGCATTTATTCTTGTCATCATGTGTAATTGACTCAGTTAAATCTGTGTGAATTTCTGATAGAAGGCTAGTATTTGAGATTAAACACACTAATTAAGTACATAATTACAGAAGAAGCTGTCCCAGAGTTTTAACAACTCCTACAGAGAAAATTCTGTCCAAAGAAATTCCCAATACAAGCCTAAGCTATCTATATTCATACAATGCATATCCTATCTACTCCTACAAAACCTAATATCTGTGTACAATTGAACCATACATAAAATCACTGCTCCTAAAATACATAACTCCTCCTACTGATCTGCCACAAGGCAGATTTCTATGTCCTACACCTTTTTCTAGAATAAAACCTTCGAATGGGAGGTTTCTTTAGGCTTGGATCTGCCAATGGGTCATCCAGTCCATTGAGTTTCTGAGTTCCATCAATTTCTTACTTAGCATTATGTGGTCATAAAATTCCTATATGATGGTTTTTCATTACTTACCAGTTTAATGCATTTTTTATTTTGCCTTTAAATCTTTGAATTATGCAATTAAATTTTGGCCATACAGAGTGTTTCTTTATCTGTTTTACCGTTTAACATTTTCAGTTCTCCACTTAAAGTGATGGAAGATGATGAAGTTGACAAGTTAGACATAAAGCTAGATGTGAAGAAAAAATCCAAGCGTGTCTACCAGTCACCATCTCCAGAAGTCGGATTAAAGATTAGTCGTTCATTAAAAGTTAGTTGGCTGCTTATCCTTACTTAAATATGATTAATTTGGATTCAAATTGTTGTAATGCATGTTTTATATGAATAACACGTGATGGTATATATAGACATACATGTAGAATTGTACATGCACACTCAAAACACACACACAGACTGAGACTTGAGCCTTAACTTCATGTTATAAATGGACAGTCATGCACAAGTATGTGTAGGATAGTGGAAAGTTACAATTTTGCGATCATTTAAATCCCATGCACTGTTTTTTGTTACCTTGTGTTTACTGCTTTATCAATATGATAAACTGAGAGAGATGATCTATCAATGTTGCAAATTTAAATGTCTTTGTTTAGTTTAATAATTGCAGAGTCTCAATGCCAAAACTGGTCTATTTAGTAACCGAATGAAGATTATCCATCGGGATCCCAAGCTTCGGGCACAGCGAGTGGCTGCTATTAAGGTTTAAAATGCTAAGATTTGTATAAAAGGATTGGTTCCTTCATATTAATATTTGTTGCATTCTTGTTCTCAGGTTAATACTTATTTGATGCATTAACATTTAGGATTCACTTGATTTGATCTTTGAAGAATATGCATTAAAAAAAAAATAAGGCTTCAATAACTTTCCAATTTATTTAGTTTTCTATGGTCATCCAAAGATATATGTGACATCACTGTAGTCCTTCATTAATCAATATATCAAATTGGTCCTTCAAAGATATGTGTGATATCAACAGTCCTTAAATGTCACATTTTTGCCATCAAACTGGACCTTAAAATGATATCAAATTTTTCCTTGAAGTTAAAAACTGATGGTACCAGTCTTAGTTGAAGGACCAATTTGATATCACTAATAAATGGAAGGCTAATGTGATATTGCATATATCACCAATTTGATATCACATTTTTACTCTGAAGGGAGTGGATTGAGTTTTATCAAATATTAACTTTCTTCCAGCCCTAGCTTAATTAAACTCTCAAGTGGTTTTTGAGTGATAAATTTATATTATTTTATTTAGGGTAGGTAACAAGACATCTTCTAAAGCCTGAGTATCTACTTTTTCTGTTTCCAATTGTATAAGTTTTATGAATTCCCTATATCTAATACTAACTGTGATCAGGCTAGATAATATGAAATCTATTAAATCCTGAGTAATTTTCTTTACTGAAAATTCTACACAATGAACATTTGCTTTGATGGATGCAGAGGGCCAAGGGAACTGTTGCAGCAAGAAAGCACATTTCCAAAGTTATGAAAGCTTTCTTTAGTGATCCAATAAACCGTCAGAAAAGGAGCATGGCCATGAAGGGTCATTTTATACCCATGCACTGTGACTTCGTTGCTGGTAGGCATGGTTAAACTTCAGACTTATTAGCTTTTTTTCCCCCTCAAATGCAGGTGTGAAATTCTACTGCCAAAACTGTGGACGTGAAGGGCATAGACGAAACTACTGTCCCGAACTCAAGGATAGTTTGATTGACCGGCGATTCACATGTAGTTTATGTGGGGAAAAGGGCCACAACAGAAGGACATGTAGAAAGTTAAGAATAAGCCATAGCAATGGGAAAGTTATAAAACACCATAGATGTAAAATATGTCGCCAATATGGCCATAACAGCAGGACATGCTCTCAAGTTGTTCCTAATAAACGAAGGGTTAAGGCTTCTCGAAAAGCATACCAATGTCGGTTATGCCAGAAAGAGGGACATAATATTAGGACATGTCCTAGTAGAGGTGTTGTAACTGAACATCCATAAGATTAATAAGCCTACTGTGAGAAACACAAGCGCCTCAACCTAAATCTTAATGTGGACGGTAATCAGAACTGGAAAAATTTTGCTCAATCTTTTGTATCTGCAGCACAACCCGTTGAGTAATGCCAATTAGCCAAAACATTGACAAAATTCAGCTAGGTTTAAGGGTGGCTGTTGGATGAGATGAAATAATAGTAGGGGTATAGCATTCAGCTTATCTTAATTTGTTTCAAGTCTATCATCGTGTTATCTCAAAATGGGAATGCAACATACGTAGAGCATCTTGGATGTATTGAAATTTCCACCATCTAGTTTGATGTTATGGATGGAGGTTTTGAATTTTTAGTCATTTTACCAAATTTTACATCAGACTATGTTATGTTATTTCATGTATTTGCATTCTTAATAAGTTGTATTATTATATGTTTAAATACGTTTCTAGTTTCTTAAAAAATGACATTCTTTGATTATATTTTTTTTTTAAATTTATATATTATAGTTTTTTTAGTCATTAGAAAAGGCATATAATCAAGTATTAAGAGAATTGTCACGGAAGGCTTTAGAAATGAAATGGGTCCATATAGCATATATTTGAGCTATACAAAACATGCATGAGGAGTAATTACATGTGTCAAAACTTCTGGAGACGTATCTAAGGATTTTTTAATTGGAATAGGTTTACATCAAGGTTCTACTTTGAATCTTTACTTGTTTAATCTTGTTTTAGATGTGCTTACAAATGATATAAAAAATTTATACCTTGTGCATACTATTTGCAAATGATATAGTGTTGGTTGAGGATTTGAAATAAGAGTTAATGTTAAATTTGAGTTATGGAGGGAGAATTTAATATCTAAGAGTTTTCGCTTGAGTAAAAGTAAGACAGAATGTATACATTGTAAGTTTAGTAAAAAAACACAATGATATTATACAAGTTTCGAGTTTCAAGTACTTAGCGATCGATTACACAAAATGATAGGGAAGTTAATAAAGATGTTAGTCATAGAATATTAGCTAGGTGGTTAAAATAGAGAAAAGTATAATGAGTTATTTGTGACCGTAAAGTATCTATCAAGCTGAAAAGAAAATTTTACTGTATGACAATAATATCTCTTATGGTAATGAATGTTGGCTCTTAAAGGAACAACACTAGAAAATAATGGGAGTGGCAAAAGTGAGAATACTAAGGTGAATGAATGTACGCATGAGAAAGATGATAGAAAATGATAATATACAAGATAATATTAGAGTAACACCTACAATGAAAAAGATGATTGAAAATTGTCTAAGATTGTTTGGTCAGAGAAAACCTTTGGAGTTGCCAATAAAGAGAGTGGATTGCATGAATTTTAATCCAATAAAGAGAGGTTAAGAGATATGCAAAAGAACCTTAGACATAGTTATTAAAAAAGACATTTTGATTAACCATATTTATGAAAATTTGGTTTTTTACTGAGTTCTATGGCGTCGTGTAATCCATGTACCCGACTTCACCTAGTGAGAGAAGGCTTGGTTGCTGTTGTTACTGTTTAGTGTTTACAAAAGTCATGTTTAGTTTTTCTTGAATACGAAGGTGACATCATTTTTACTAAATATAAGATTTTAAATAAATAATTATTATAAGAACTAAAATAAAAAAAAGTCATGATACTTTTAATGATTATATGAGTTAGGATATGTTGACATCATATTTTAAATTTGGACATTTAATAACTTATAATGTAAAATTTATAACTAATTTAATCGTTAAATCATCTTATATTATATTCCTTATCTTATGTATCAAATTTCAGATTATTTGAATATTTGTAAGTATATTATTCAAAATTTAATATTTATTTGTATTTTAAAATTATATAACAGGTAAAAAATAATTAATATAATAAAATAACTATAAGACTGTAACACCCCTATTTTAGTATTTATTAATTTTGTATTTGGTATAAGTTCTTAATGCATGTTGCTTGAAATTATGAGAGTTTTAGATACTTTAGTTGCAGGATTTTTCGCTGTAGCAAAAAATTAGCATCCAGAATTAGGCATTTTGATGCTCTCTTGCTGTAGCAAGGAGCTCTTGTTGTAGCTAGAATGATAGACAACAAAGTACAATTTTGTCTGATTTTTTCGCTGTAGCGAGAATGTCGCGAGTTGAGGGGTATTTAAGGATTTTCAAATTGAGAAACTTGGATTATAATCTAAGTTACGACCTTCTACGTTTCCTCTAACCTCTCTCCTCTTTTTTTTAATTAAATCTTGAAAGATCTCAACCTTTCTCCAATCCAAGCTTAAGAGTTCACTTTCCTTGCTTCTTGGTGAGTTCTTGAAGCTTGGTTCTCCATTCCTTTGGTTATTTTCTTGATTTTCCTTCTCTAAATGAGATCTCTTGTGATATTTAGAAAGAACTCCATGTTTTAAGCAAGAATCCTCAAAAACCTTTTACTAAACTTTCATTTGAAGGTAAAGATAGTTCTATTTTGTTACTAAGAAATTGTTATGTTTATGTTTATGAAAATGTTGTGATAAAATGTTTGATTTGAGTATGTGTTGGATGATAATATGTTTTGTTATATTTAGAATATGTTTTGTTATGTTTGAAGCATGTCTTGTGATTATTGATGATGGGTGTGATCTTTATTCTGAATATATGCATATATATGGTGGATTGAGTCTAAGAAAACTAACCATTGGCAATGATTGAGTGAAATATGATGTAATAATAAACTAGAGTAAAATATAGATAGATGAGATAGAAACATGAAAAAGGAAGGAAAATAAGAAAGGAATACGATAAAGAGGAGTATGAATAGTTCAGAGGTACACTGGGAGTGTAAAAGATGGAGAAGACTGAAAAGTCTTGGAGAAATGAGGGTGGTGGATGCTCCTCTTGAATTGCGTAAGACAAATAAGAGTAGGAGAACCACAAGCCTCACACTTGTTTCCTGACTAATACTTCTGACCATACTTTTGCTAAAAAGGGCCAGGTTGACACGCATTATATTTGTGTAACTGTGGCTATCCAGCAACTATCTATGCTAAAAATGACCTCAAGGATCCCAGGGACAGTGAAAGTGAGAACTGAAAGTGTTAATAGTAATGGACCTAAGTTGAATAAATTTGATGATTAATGATTTTGTTATATGATGCTTGCATGACTTCTTTATCTGTATCACTGAATTATTTGTGAATGTATGCTTAGTAATGAAAATAGAGATTCATCCTTACGTAAACATTTCAGGGAACCAAGATGACAGCACCCACCGAGAGAATTAGATTAGTAGATAGTTCTAATAGGTTAAATTATGTATTTAATGAGTATCAGTGACTTTATTTCTTTAGGATTGCTGTATATGTAAATGATGTACCTAGTGACTTTATTATGATGGAAATGGAATTAGCTTATAATATTCCTTTTGATTTTCCCGTAAGTAGAATCCATCATACCCTCTGTGTATATATCTTTCCTGGTACTGTGAGAACCCTAACAACATTGATCTACCTGTTTACGTATAATGATCACAATCATCCTAGGAGACCATCTCATTGGACGTTTGAGCGGATTATGGGTACTCAGGTTACTGCAGATCTTGGTGATCTGTATCTCGGATCAGATGATGACCTCGACTCCGATGATATAGCGATGATAGAAGGATGGCACGGGGATGACTAGTGTCTCTTTGGTCACATGATGGATAGGCTGCTCATTAGGACTTATTATGTTTTGGATTTTATGAATGATGGAAAAGAAGTCATAATGTATTTTATTGTATTGTAATGAATATTTTGTAAATATTAACATCTTGTATATGATGAGCTCAATGTATGTTCATGACATTTTAATGTTTCCTTTTAAAGAAAATAATAGTTGAAAATCAACAGATACAAGATTTATCACGTTTATAAAAAAAAGTCTTCACATAAATTCAAGTCATCTCAACAATTATTCACCTTAGACTTGAATTCTCCCAAAATATCAACAACCAAAAAATAACTCTCATGCTAACACACTTTAAAGGTTCTTAAGCTATACGAACATTCATTAAGTCTAAGCTATACTTAAACTTCTTTGTAGACAAATAGTCAATATATCTATAGATTATATACAACGGCTCTATTCTATACCAAGAATAATTTGTCTTCAATCAATTCTCAAATGAAATCAATCTAACATCAATATGCTTTGATTTTTTATAATATACTGAATTTTTGGCCAAGTTCAATACACTTTGACTTTCATATACCTTTCTTAACCTCTTCTATTAATGAACAGAATTTTGCACATCCAAACCCAAACTATAAAATTTTCCAATCATATACCTTCCTTAACCTCTTCTATGACAAGTACTATACTTCTATAGTAGACAAAACAATAGTAAGTTGAAGTGTTGCTTTCCAACTAATAGCATATCCTTAAAGATCTCCTCTATAGTCAGAATCTGCATAGCCAACAAGACGACTACCAATTCCATTAAAACCATAAATTAAACAAATATCACTATTAATTTTTTGATATCATATAATTCATTTTATTGCCTCACAATGAGCTTTTCCTAAATTATTTATAAATTTGCTTACCATACTAACAACATGAACCAAAATTGGTCTAGTGTATACCATGACACACATTAGGTTTCCAATAAAACTAGAATAAAGAATGTCATTCATATATCCCTTTTTCATCAAGTTTAAAATGTCCAAGGGAGTATTCACTGACTTTGAATTCTCCATTTGAAAAGAATGCAACAACTTTTTAATGTATTTCTTCTTAGATACTTAAAGTGGACTGGCACTTGTATCTCTCTAAATTTCTATGCCTTAAATCATCTTGGTTACGCATAAGTTATTCATCTCAAACTCATTGCTCAAAACCATTTTGAGGTTATTCAGTTTAACCATGCTTTTGGTTACAATTAACATGTCATTTATGTATAGCACCAAAAAAACATATGAACCATCTAAAACTTCTTACTGTAGACATAATTGTCAAATTGATGTAAAAAAATTTATGAGAATCATAAAAGTATCAAACTTTTTATACCACTGCCTCAAAGCTTTGTTGTAAGTCATACAATGATTTTTTTTTAGTAAACATACATTGTTCTTTTTTTTTTTTCAGCCTCAAGGAACCCATTAGGTTATGACATATAAACTTTCTTATTTAGATTTTCATGCTAGGAAACAATTTTCACATCAAGCTACTACAACTTGAAATTTAAAGTACTCATTATAGTTAAGAAAATTCATTTAGTTTTTCACTTTACCACTAGTAGAACACTTCATAGTAATCAATGCCTTCTTTTGTGAAAAATCCTTTGTCACAAGCTTTGTCTTGAACCTTGATGGTTCAACTCTACAAATCTATTCTTTCTTCTTGAACACCCATTTGCATCTCACTCACTTTATATCCTTTGGTAATGGTACTAAATATCATGTATATTTTTTCTCAAATGACTGCATCTCCTTATTCAT